ATGACATAGTCATTGCGAGTCTTACAGAAGAAGATCACCGCAAGACAGTTCGTGAAGTAATCAAGTGACTGAATGGAGCAAACTTCCGACTCAATCACAACAAGTGTGCCTTCACGGTCAAAGTGGTCAACATTCTATGTGTGAAAGCCACCACATAGGGACTCAAAGCGGATCCAGAAAAAAACAGAAAATAATGAAGGACTAGCCACTACCCAGAACGAACCGAGATATGCACAAAGCGGTGGGACTCGCGAACTATATGCGCGATCATGTCCCCAACTTTGCCCACACAACTAAACACTTCCGGAACCTAATGAAAGGAAAAATGAACCAGAACATATCCATGTTATGGATACCGGAACTAATAAAGAAGCGGAAAGAACTCAAAGAAGCCATCTCGCGTTCGGCGACAATAGCATTCCCTGTTGATGGGGCACCGTTTCAAATCATGAGCGATGCTAGTGAAAATGGTACAACAGGATGTTTATTTCAAGTCATCGATGGAGTCAGAAGAGATATTCGCTATTTTCCCAATGGCCCGAATCCAGCACAGCAACGCTATGACACAAACACAAAAGAGCTCCTAGCACTGGTATACAGCATGGAACATTTTCCCGAATACATCAATGGAAGGTACATAACACTGTGGTCAGATCATAAAGAGATCGCGCAAATGAACAGCCAACAGACGTTACACACAATGCTAGCCAAATGGATAGCAAAAATATTCCACCATCACTTCTCTAGCATACATGTCCCAGGTAAGGACAACCAGATGGTAGATGTGTTGTCGCGTCTACACGAATACACGTTTAATACTAAAACGTCAGTGGTATTACAAGACGTGAAAACAACAGCTCACAGCCAAGAGTACACCACCTTGGAAACTAGCATGCCCATAACCATATCAGCTATAGACTGGATGTTACACTCCAGATTCTACAAAGAAGCTGAAAGACGGTTTGGGAAATTCACAGTAGATCTGTTTGCATCAGCACACAATGCACACACAGATAAATACTATATCAAAGAGCAGAATGCGGTCCTATGGAAGTGGGCGCAGGAAGTGAATGCATGGGCGAACCCGTCATGGGAACTCATACCTGAGGTCCTTGACAAAGTCATTGAAGAGGCAACCAGCATCACGGTATGTGTACCATACCACCCTAATGCAACGTGGTTTCCAACGTTCTTGTCTTTACTAGAAGAAACCCCGATGATAGTGGAAAACACAAACAATACGTTCCTCAAGGAATGCACGAAAGCGTGTGGCAAGACCCCATGGGGCGTCACATTAGTAGCAAAGATGGTAGTGAAGTCTCCATACTTTGACTCAACGCGGGAACAACCTGCCATACATGTTGCAGCATCACAACCTGTTCACTCTGGATATGCACCGCAGACAACATAATACAAGACACGTGTCAACATCATCGAGCAATACCACAACTTGGGACATTACACTCCCGAGGAAACTGTAAATAAGTTGCAAACAGATGGACAGGAATGGCCCCAAATCCAACAACATGTACATAAGTTCATCGAAGGATGCGTACCATATCAAAAATTAAAACATACTACGACCAATGATGGACAAATCAGTGGCTACTATAGCACGTACGCTAGTATCAATCATGTGCGAACATGGGTTCCCACAAATCATACAGAGTGACCAAGGCACTGAATATGTTAATGGAATACTTTCGAAGTCGTTGAACAAGCGACGATACAACACCTAGTCTCTCGGCCGTACCAAACTAAAGTCTTAGTCGCGAACGAACGATCACATAGAGACCTCGTACCACTGTCACGGAGATTTGTTGAACAAAACCCAGGTAACTGGTTTTCACGACTTCCCTTCGTACAGATGGGCCACAATCCGCATACATCAAGAAAGCACAAGTCACCACGATTTAACGTTTACTTTGGTCGCAGACAGAATCAACTAACGGACTAAAAAGAGTCAGTGACCGCACCCTGTACAACAGTATCTTGGGAAGAGCGACTGCAGAATCTAGAAGAAGCCATCGGGCCACAACTAGAAAATAATGTTGTGCAATATCAAAAGAAGATCTGTGCAGCATACGACCGAAAATACCAACAACAAAAATGTATGTATAATTCCAGGAAGGGGGCATTGTCATGGTCTGCTATCAAGGTGAAATGAACAAGATGCCAGCATCATATGGCGGACCATACAAAATAGTATGCAGGGAGGGCAACGAGTATTTTGTCTGTAACCTTGGTAGGACTAAAGCCCCCGAATAGCCTAACTCGGTCAGTGATGAGCTAATTGGACTCGTAAAAGAGGTCAATGCTCCGGAAACATTCACTTCCAAAAATCCCCTAACATCAACCTGAGGAGACTCAGTTTTCCTCGATAGTCGACCATAGGCTGTCCATCCGAGGTGATGGGTCCCAGGAGTACCTACTGCATTGGACAGATGGAGAACGTACCTGGACGCATGAATCAGACATCGCAGATGCTGATTTTCTTACAACGCACTCGACGCAAACGAAGGCAATATAGGGCAACTACATCAACAGCAACGAGTACTGATGAAAGATCAACGAGCAACAGAAAGCGCACGAGGCGGGGGACCTAAGCAAGTCTCACTGACACCGAAGGACACTCACACTTTTCTCGCCTTGAAGCATGCCCCGCCCACATACCAGAGGGATAAAGACCAAAGACTTCGTTGTAGAGCCACCGTTGAGATGCGTTTTCCTAAGCCAATTTGAGATCAACCGAGAGCACCGGTCAAAACTGACTCCGATGAGCGTGGTAGAGAACTCCCGTCATAGTATAGATTTAATTAATAGGCAATATGCAATAATAGATAATGGTGGCAGGACTTTCATCTTATGCCTCCTAAGAGACAAGTCTTTCCCTGTACAAAACACCAACCACTAGATAATCTAGTACTGTAAGATGTCACTTTCCACTCCCACGCAGGCTAAGAAGAATACAAATGGAGGGCTGTAGCATCTAGGGACCGGATTATCAAAAAAACCAATACAAATCCCAAAACTGCAGAACAATCAAATATTGAGTTTTGTAATTAGGATTCAAATATTCCTGATATTAGAGTCATCAGAAATATTAGTGGTAGATCCGGTAAGCTATACCGGGACTCCGCGTGTGAGAGTAACACTCAGGTAGAAATCTGTCTAGTGAATTAGAAAACACAAATAAAGACTCAGTTCGGTGCTTTCAGACTAGGGACTATTCCTAGCGGATATAACTGTACTTGAGAAGAGGTCTATTGTATCCTTTGTCTTGCACCTTTCAGTTGGTCTCCATACTCTACATAATGTGTTCTGATAACGGTAGTGAGTTCTGCGATGATGTAATGGAATTGTTAGTACTCGTATCAGGCATGTGCCATAAAAGGGGTGTGCCATATAAACCGCAAATACAAGGCGCTAGTGAAACGCGCCATAGAAGACTTAAGTTCTTCTTACGTACTGCAGCAACGGATGATGCAGATGATTGGCGGTACCACCTTAAGTGGGTACAAACACAAATGAACGAGTGTGCTGATACGGTTACAGGAAAAACACTTGCTCACTATTTTCGTGGCAGACATAGTGAGTTACAAATACCCTTTAACAAAGACGAACCTGAACGCCGTGAGTTGCCATGGTCAGAGAAGGTACAATCTATACATAACGTTGTATATCCTTGCTTGCAAGAAACACGCAATATGACTTTATTTAAAGGGCAAAAAAAGACAGAA